CAGGAATAAAGATGGAAATATTTGACAAGCCGCATACTTCCTGTCACCGTCGAGGCCATTAGAAATGGTGGCCCCTGGGTAAATTCTGGTAAATTACCTTATAATTTTAATATTAAATAACAATAAATAATAATAATGTTTATTCAGGTAAAAGTCCAAAGATACAAGAGGAGTGACAGTCGAGGTAGAGTGTAGACCGGGCGTGTAGCCCACTAGTACACGGAGCAGCAGCCACAACATAGTCAACAGATCGTCTAAGGCCGCCTTACTAAACACAATATCTAAACATGCTTTTAGTCAAATCGTTAATATATTTTACACACATTAAACATTTTATCTAAATATCACACACATGATTGTTATATATATATAGTTATATACTGTATATATATATAAGTATCTCTGCTACTGTCAACATTTGTACACAAGTCTAGGCTCCTGCACTCGGGTGTAAGACATATTATTGTGATGTATTCCGCACAATATTCACGTAGTTAACTTTGGATAATATAGAGAGAGATAATGTAGAGATAGAGGGTCAGTCAGCAGTACTGGAGGAAGATACTCACAGGGACGAGCGGCGCCGTCCGCCTCCTCCCACTACCAACAACACACTGACGCGTCCAAACTCAAGTCCATCACATCACTCAAAATATATCCATTCAAAATATACTTATTACCTAACTAGATTATTTGAATATTCAGATAACTATATATTTTTTAATTAAAGTCACCCAAAATTAAATTAAATTATTAAAAGTGTACAGGTATGAAGAGCCATTGTTGATATACATTGCTGAGTTACTTGATGTAACCTACAGGTGGCCGGTCCTCTTTATGTTCAGTAAAACTATCTCTCAATTATCTTAAGTTAATAATATTCAAATTCAAATTAAATGAGAAAATACTAATCATATACCATATAATGATATAAGATGTATACGTAACTTAAAATATTAAATAACATAATTTGAGAAAATCTAACCTAATAAAAATAAGCATAAATATAAAACCTTATTTTTTTTTTTTTTTTTTGAGATATATACAAGAGTTGTTACATTCTTGTACATAATTTTTATTAGCAAAATTAGGTATACAGAGCAATGTGCTGCTACCCTATTTTATATGTGATATTACACAATGTAGATCAAAAACTAGCTATAGGTTCAACTAACATTCCCATCACACAGGATGGTTAGTCATACATGGAATTAGGGCAGATAATACCTGCCTTAATACAAAAACAAACCAGCTCTGACTAAACATCAGTTCATCTATTATTCCCACGTCACAGGATGGTTAGTCATATATGGAATCAGGAGAGGACATGAAATGTAAGGCTCATTTATTAGTCTCCACTAGCAAACTCTGGGTACAGCACCACAATATCTTCCAATACTACTGAGTGTATGAAGCAATTATAAGCTCATAGTACCTCATGCCATTTGGTCTGTTAATAGCTTAAGCTACTCTATCCCTTTGAGATGTATTTTTTTCTTGTCTCAATAAACATACTTGAACCAGCGTTTCGGTTTAAATCGACAATCGACTTGGTAATGGTCCAAGATGGATTGAAACGTCGTCGTCTCTTCATCTTCAAGTGTGAGGTTTGGTCAACAACGTTGTTTATATTGCATGTTGTAACATTCCGAGGATCTATTTTGCATGTTGGGTTTTTAAGAGCCTGAAGAGGCTGACTTTGACTCACAGAAAATTACTCCTGCACAATTGTTCAGTGTTGCGTTAGTGGCACGGTGTAGTGCAGCTGTACTCGCCTAGTTGTGCTTGCGGGGGTTGAGCTTCGGCTCTTTGGTCCCACCTCTCAACCATCAATCTACTGGTGTAGATTCCTGAGCTTCACGAGCTTTATGAATCAGTAGATTGACGGTAGACGGTAGACAGTAGATTGATGGTTATGAGGCTGGACCAAAGCGCCTGCATGTGTGGAGCTAAGCCAGTTATTGAGTCTCACACTTGTAGTCTGTGTAAACATTGTAATTTTAATAACACCAGGCAGTAAAGTTACAAAATAATGCAACCCGTCCTTCAGTGTAAGCTTTACAAGTCAAATACTGACTTATTTCTCTGTCAGCACAGTCGGACCACAGCTGAAAGGTCCCTGATTCGAGTCCCCTGGTCTGAGGACAGGTTGGTAGGACAGAAGCGTTTGGGCAACGTTTCCTGTCACCTAATGCCTTTGTTCACCTAGCAATAAATATAAGTACCAAGGTAACTGTTGTGGGCTGTTTCCTATTCCAGACTATGGGAGATCATTTGGCACAACATACGTAAATGAATTATAATTTAATTATAATTCATGTATGTGTCCGGGGACAGGCAGCCAGTATATATATATATATATATATATATATATATATATATATATATATATATATATATATATATATATATATATATATATATATATATGAGTTAACCAGGTATCAACCAGCTTGAACTAGTACATCCTCTCAATACGCTGCCTTCACCTTCCTGATAATAAGGTTGCCTACAGCTTACTAGCAATACAGTTGTTGTTGTTGTTGTTGTTATAGATTCAGCTACTGGGAACAAAAAGTTCCAAGTAGCACGGGCTATGGTGAGCCCGTAATGAACTTACCTGTCACAGGAGCGGGACTGTAAGTTAATACAGCTGCCTTCACTGTACACACAGAACAAATCCACAAGGGCCGTGACGAGGGTCTGAATGAAGGAAGTGGAATGAAGTAAGGGCGAAGAGGTAGAATAGCCTATTGACATTGCTAGAGTGCACGGGGGAATTGTGTAAACCCTGGTTTGTGTTTCGGAGAGACTGCAGGATCCGTGGTAGGTCAAGTTGACTTCCCGGTTGCAATTCTTTTGACCATGTCGTAGCTCAATCGATTAAGGCAGCGTCTGGGATCCTCTCGGACGTAAGTTTGTACCCTCGTCACGGCCCTTGTGGATTTGTTCACTTGATGCATCACACTATTGTGATGTCTGTGTAATTCTGCCTCCACCATGCAGAATTACACAGAAATCAGGTATCGAACCCGGAACCTCAGGACTACGAATCCGAAGCGCTGACCACTCAGCTGTCGGGCCCCTTACAGGTCAGGTGTGTGCAAGTCCCAGGCTCTACCGGGTACTCTATCTAGTACATTATATAAATTGCACTTATAATAATGTTTATAATTCATTGTTGGGGGACAGGAAGCCAGAGCGTATTCATACACGATTTGGCTTTTATCGATGCCCCCCCCCCCAAGGCCGAATTACTGACCCTGCCCAGGCTGCAACCCCACAAGAAGCTGACTAACTTCTGAGTACTGTACTTACTTACAGCTAAATGAACAGAGGCATTAGGTGAAAGGAAATGTGCCCAACCATTTGTCTCATACGGGATTCTTGATTGTGCATCGAGAACGAACCCGACTGTACTACTAGGACCTTTTATCTTCCAGCCCATCCTCCTGTTTTGGCAGTACTTACTGGATGAGGACCATAGTACTGTACACATACTGATGAACACAATTAAAAAGTAGAAATCGGTACTACTGAATTTGGACAAACAGGAAAAAGATTTTCTACTTGTTACAAAGTCATACTAAACTAACCTACCCCTAACCTTTCTAGGCCTAATAGAGTACATATGAGTGCCATACTAGGCCTAGGAATATTAAATTCTGTTTTTTAGCTTAATTTTGTTTGGACTATAGTGAATAGTACACAGTTCTAGTAATTGTTTAATGTGTCAATATTTGTACTATGGTGCACATAGTTACACACAATACTATCTAAACAGGATGTGTTGTATATATTTGTAAAAATTAACCTTTGCTCTAAGAGAAGTCATACTATGCATGAAGTTACAAGTGGTTGCCAATATGACTACATCAGAGGTGCAGTTGTATCCTTGAAGCTGTACAGTATTGTAAATCGATGAAGGACATTTTTAATGATTTATTATGTAATATTTACAGTATAACCTTTAACATTATTTTCATATTATTTATTGGTATTCTAATTCTTCCCCTAAAAGGCTGCATCTGTTGTCACTTGCCACAGGTAGAATTAATTTGTTTTCCCACTTTGCATTACTGTTCAATATCTTCCTTGCCCATTTCTTTCTATAACCAAACTTGTTCCTTTTTTCTGGCCCTAACACAAACTGCATCAGAATGCTAACCCAACCCAAAACTGTGTTCTGCCTTTGTGCTTCCCTGGGCAAGATCATTTCATGTTATTTCCGTTATTTCACATTACACTTGTCCTAAGCTCCACTATATTCTTTGCTTCATAACTATTCCTGTTTTTATTTGTCAAATCTACAAACTATTTTCCTGGTATGCCCCTTGATCAAACAAAAAATTGCCATGGAGCTAAATTTCTCAATTACAAAATCAGCCATATTTTGCCTTGAACTTGTGTTTTTAAAGTTTCAAGTTATTACAAGACAAATTCGGTGTAAACCTCGAGAAAGAAAAAATATGAAATAAACTGTTACTCAAAGCCAAATACTTTAAATTATTTGTAATAAAGGAACTGTTAGGGGTTACAATAGTCAGTTGATATGAATTTTGTTTTACTGCAAAGTATATGAGATACTTGGGTGAATCAATTTTTCCATAATGTTTTCCGAGCAAGGCTTTTCACTGTTGGCACAGACCTATCATGAAATATGCAACTCATATTCCTATAAATTCCCTGGATATTTCTTATTTTCGTGTAAATTAAGGCAAAATTAATAACTTGCTCTTTGTCCTTCGTTGCAATTTTTTTTTTGTAGGGATTTAGGCCTGGAGCCAGATCCAGAAACCTGGTTAGGTCAGTGTCGAGTTTTCTCCAGGACATAATACACCAATCATTACATTTGCATCCAAGTTGCAAATTACTGTCAAGTACACTAGCAGATGGCATAAAGGACAAGTATGTAATAATTACACATACTAGCCAGGTCCTTTTATTTATGAAGAGTATGAAAGCCTTCAAGGTTATAATTGACCAAATTAGAAAAATGGTGCTGGCACTAGATTCTTTTTATTCTTGCCATTCACTCACAAACTCCAACACAGACATATACACGTGCATAAGAAACAAAAATTAATCAGAGAACTTTTGTGATTCAACAATTTCCAAGGAATACAGAGATTAATTGTTTTCTTTTTCCTATGTGGGTACTTATGCATAACTGAATCATGCATTTGTGTGATTATTCTTGTATATACAAGTGAATTGTTAACCGGCAGCCTTCCAAAGCTCCAATCTTTCAAAAGATGACCTCCCTAAAAAAAATTTGAGAATTACAATTTAGTCAAATTTAGCCAGACAGTACAGTACAGTATTTACCTGGTCAATTGTGTTAATGTTTTATAGACATAACCAAAGATCAGAGCCTGGAAAACAAATATTACTTATCAAATTTTCCAAAAGTACCTGTTAAAAGAAGGCACTAAACCAGGAAGACTATTTAGCACCATCTGTGTTGTGGGATATTCAAAATGTCTGAATATCATGCCCAATATTCAATATTCCACAAATTAAATCCAATAATTTTGTTATGATTTAAATAGGTTAAGTATAAGTAATTACTTAACTATAAAAGCTTTACTGAGGGAATGTAACATTTTTATATATTGTAATACAATTATTAGTCTTTAGTTATACCAATTAATTAAATGTATGAATATACTGTATAATAAAAAATAATTTTTTAAAGGTATCAACAAAATTCACATCTTAAAATTGTTCAATTAAAAACAGTATAACCAGAATATAAAAAAATTCATTAAGTTGTGCTTTATTAGAGTATAATGAAATACAAATAGGCTTATTCATTTTACAGAAAATATGAGGTGCTAAGTATAATGCTATAAGTAAAGACAAAATTAATCTTAAGTGTCAACCACATCTGGGCAACGTTGTGACCAAGTTGTTATGTAGCAGACTATTAAAGCTTTGTACTCCTTATATAATACAAATACAATATACACTATCAATATCAGACAAAATACAAAAAAAAAAAAAGTTATTTTTTTCAGAATTATTCTCAAGAATAATTTTCACATTTATACAAAAAGGAGCCTGAAGAGGCCCTGTCAACAGAGGTCCTCTATACTGTACACTGTATTAACCAAGCTTACATTCATGTATCATCCGCTATATTTCTGGATTTTAAATATTTATGAAAACTGTCAATAACAAATGAATACTGTAATTTGTTCATAAATCTCGGGAAGAGAGTTTTAATAGCATCAGTGTTCAAATTGTCGGCCAATGATTCAAGGAACTTAGGATTTTCATTAGTCTTCTTAAACACTGCTATTACATTATCAGGAACCAAATCTGAAGAGGAAAAAGTTACTTATTAATCACTTACACATAACATAGTTTGAAATAAATATAGGACTGCATTACACACCTAAATCTGTCATATTCAGACATAAATCTCTAATCAATCAACTGAAATGCAAGTCCAAATAATGATGTTTAAATGGTGGGACTGTCCAATTTTTTTTTTATAAAGTAAGTAATTATCAAAAGGTACCAAACCGGGAAGGCTATGTAGCACCATCAAATGTGCGGGATAATCAGAGGGCGCTAAATATTACCAAGGATGCCAATACAAGAACAGAAACGCACAAGACGAACAATGTCAAAAGTATCCGAGTCGCCAAGAATTCTATCAAGGGACAAGCGACCGCGCGGGATGGTCGGAAAACATGACACACACTTGTCCCTGGAAGTCAGGACAGTCAACAAGGATATGCATGACTGTAAGAGGTTCAATGCAATTTGGACAATAAGGAGCAGGGCGGCGCTCCATTAAGTGACAGTGAGTTAAACGGGTACGGCCAATACGTAACCTAGCCAGAGCCGTTTCCCACCGCCGGTTACGGTGGTAGGAGGAAGGCCACTGGGACACACGACTCTTAAGAATATGCAGTTTGTTACTTTTTTTATATATAAAGTTCACAACTACTCTTACTCAAAGGGAGAGTAGTATCTCACATTGGCTACCCTGAGGCACCAGATTCATTTATAAGCCTTAAATATATTGAGAAAAATACAAAACATCTTCCTACTACTGTATTTCTGCTTAAAATTTAGTGATCTTGTTACAAAGTAACTAACTACAGTACAGTTTATTCAAAGTTTTGCTATAACTTATAAACTACGTATGGTTTGATTTTATATACACCATAAAATACATATCTTCAGGTCAACATATCTCAGGTTATAAACCAGTGGTGCAAACAATCTAGGATAAAGGCAAGCTATAACTTGTTTATACTATAGGTACCAAATATGTGTGTTTATTATGTTTAAAATGTATTTTGAAGTTAATATTTTTGGGAGTGTGGAACGGATTAATTCAATTTACATTATTTCTTATGTGTGTGTGTGTGTGTGTGTGTGTGTGTGATATTATATATATATATATATATATATATATATATATATATATATATATATATATATATATATATATATATATATATATATATATGTATATATATATATATATATATATATATATATATATATATATATATATATATATATATATATATATATATATATATATATAATGTGTGTGTGTGTGTGTGTGAATGATGAGAGGGCGAGTGGAGACTGGATGAAGGGGCAGTTAGGCAAGAGGGAGGGGGGAACAGAAGAAAAAGAGCAGAACAGAGAAGTGAGTAAAAGAGGGCAGGAAATTGTTGAAGTGGGAGGAAGGTGACAGTGAGAAAGGAGACTGGAGGGGGAATGGGGAAGAGAGAAGAAGGGTAAGGAGGCAAGACGGGCGTGTTGAGAGAAATACTATTTTGTAGTATTATGCTACAACAAAGATTAATGAAGACTTTTCTGTAGCCTATATTCTATAATAAAACAACTTATTGAATAGGAAGTAAATATTTACCATCAGGTGAAGCATCTAAGGGTGTGATATCATCTATTTCCAAAATATCATTAATTACTGAAGGCACATCACCAATAACATTACTCTCTCTATTTTCGCTCATTTCCTCATTCTCCAAGATGTCACCTTCAGATTTTCTGCTCTCCTGGAAATGGTCTTGGTTATTGGGTCGCTGGTTCTCCTTGTCTTCACGGTCTACATCGCCAAATATTTCACTTAACTGAGCTTCCACTTCATCCAACGGTGGTTCTGGTGATTTCTTACCTTCCCTAGGAATGAAACATTAAATAATTATTACAGACAAAAATGATACATCAACTCTGAAGAAATCAAGAAGAAATATCATCGTTTCTTTATTCTGTTACTTTTGGTACTTGAATGGAAACTATAATCAAAGTATAGTACTACACTAGGTATTTTTTTTTTAAACCAGCTGATAGAGGAAAGCATCCTTAGTACAACATATGAGGCCGACCCATTCTTACATGTGTTGATGTCAATACTCTATCAAGCACTGTCACAGTTGAGTTTATATTTATGAACGTTTCACAAGTAAGGGTGTGTGAGAGTGTGTAATTACAGGATGAGAGGTATCATACTATCATAATCATACTACCTGATCAATCAGGCTGTGATTCATACGTCAGGCTGAGAGCAGCCGTGTCAAACAGCCTGGTTGACCAGTCCAGCAACGAGGAGGCCTGGTCAGCAACAAGACCGCGGGGTCGCTAAGCCTTGAAATCACCTTAAGGTAAGGTATGCACGTGGTGTCCTGTCTTCCCAGCACTGTCATATAATGTTTTGAAATTACTGACAGTTTTGGCCTCCACCACCTTCTCACCTAACTTGTTCCAACCGTCTACCACTGTGTTTGCGAAAGTGAATTTTCTTATATTTCTTCGGCAGCTTTGTTTAGCTAGTTTAAAGCTATGACTTCTTGTTCTTGAAGTTCCAGGTCTCAGGAATTCTTCCCTATCAATTCTATCGATTCCAATTTTACTCAGTTTCCACCTGTGTCCCCTTGTTTGCATACCCCCCCCCATGTTAAACAATTTATCCTTGTCTAACTTGTCAATTCCTCTGAGAATTTTATAGGTAGTGATCATGTCTCCTAGTGTTGTGAGGTGCATTTCTCCCAACCTTTCCTCATAACTCATGCCTCTTAGTTCTGGGACTAGCATAGTGGTATATCTTTGAACTTTTTCCAGCTTCGTCTTATGTTTGACAAGGTATGTGCTCCATGGTGAGGCTGCATACTCCAGGACTGGTCTTACATATGTGGTGTACAAGGTTCTGAATGATTTCTTACACAGGTTACTGAAGGCATTTCTGATGTTAGCCAGCCTCACATACGTTACAGATGTTATTCTTTTTATGTGGGCTTCAGGAGACAGGTTTGGTGTGATATCAACTCCTAGATCTTTCTCTCTGTCCGTTTCATGACGGATTACTACTCCCATTTGGTATCCAGTGTCTGGCCTCCTGTTTCCATCACCTAGTTTCATTACCTTACATTTACTCAGGTTGACCTTTAGTAGCCATTTGTTGGACCATTCATTCAGTTTGTCTAGGTAGTCTTGTAGCCTCATACTATCTTCCTCTGTACTAATCCTCCTCATAATTTTTGCATCAGCAGCAAACAATGAGAGGAACGATTCTATACCGTTTGGGAGATCATTTCCGTATATATCAGAAGCAGTACAAGTCCAAGGACTGAACCCTGCGGGACTCCACTGGTGACACCTCGCCAATCTGAGACCTCACTCCTCAGTGACTCGCTTGATTTGCCATCCCTGAACCCATGCTGTTGTGTTACTAAGTTCTTTCGCTCCAGATGTTCCATTATTTTTTTTCGCACAATTTTCTTCATCTTGCATGGAATGCAAGTTAGGGACTCTGGCCTGTAGTTCAGTGCCTATCACCCTTCTTATATATTGGGACTATATTGGCCGTCTTCCAAATTTTTGGCAGTTCACTTGTTACCAGTGATTTGTTGTACACCATTGATAGTGGCAGGCACAGAGCTTCTGCTCCTTCCTTTAGTATCCATGGTGAGATTCCATTCAGACCTATAGCCTTTGTCACATCCAATTCCAGCAGATACTTCTTCACCTCCCCACTGGGGAGGTGGGGATATTACCACTTTTATCTCTGGGACTTCTCCTTGCTCTACTGTGAAGACCTCCTGGAATTTTGTATCAAGTTCTTCGCACACCATCTTGTCATTTGTAGTGAATCTGTTTGCCCCTACCCTCAATTTCATTACCTGTTCCATCACTTATTTTTCTCCTGATGTGGCTGTGCAGCAATTTAGGTCAAGTCTTTGCCTTGCTCGATATGTCGTTTTCATATTGTCACTCTGCCTCTCTTCTCACCCTGACGTATTCATTCCTGGTGCTCTGGTATCTCTCTGCTCCCTAATGTCCTGTTATTTCTATAGTTTCTCCACGCCCTTGTACTTAATTGCTTTGCTAGCTTACATCTCTAATTAAACCATGGGTTTCTTTTCAGCATTTCCCTTTTTTTCTTTTGGACTGGGACAAACTTGTCTGCTGCCTCCTCACATTTCTGTGATGTAGTCCATCATGGCTCGAGCCGTCTTTCCTGTGAGTTCTGTTTCTCAAGCTATATCTGTTGGAAATTTCCTTATTTCCTCATAATTTCCTTTCCGGAATGCTGGCCTTTTGTTTTCTGCGCCTTTCCTCGAGTACCTTAACCCTACTTCGATCAGGTACTCAAACATCAGTACACTGTGATCACTCATTCCCACTGGAGGCTTTGAAACCGATTTCCCTTATGCCCGAGTCGTTCAGAATACTAGGTTGAGTCTCACTAGTCCATCGTTGCCTCTCATTCTTGTGGCTCCCCTGACATACCAACTTAAATAGTTTCTTGTCGCCACTTCCAACAGTTTAGCTCCCATGTTTCCTCATTTCCATGTGGTTCTTTGTTTTTTCAGTCTACCCTTCCATGATTGAAATCCCCCATGATGAGCAGATGGGATCGATTTTTACAGGCAGCAGTGGCTGCTTTCTCAATTATAGTGTTACCTGGTTGATACCTGGTTGATGGGGTTCTGGGAGTTCTTCTACTCCCCAAGCCCGGCCCGAGGCCAGGCTTGACTTGTGAGAGTTTGGTCCACCAGGCTGTTGCTTGGAGCGGCCCACAGGCCCACATACCCACCACAGCCCGGTTGGTCCGGCAATCCTTGGAGGAATAAATCTAGTTTCCTCTTGAAAATGTCCACGGTTGTTCCGGCAATATTTCTTAAGCTTGCTGGGAGGACGTTGAACAACCGTGGACCTCTGATGTTTATACAGTGTTCTCTGATTGTGCCTATGGCACCTCTGCTCTTCACTGGTTCTATTCTACATTTTCTTCCATATCGTTTACTCCAGTACGTTGTTATTTTACTGTGTAGATTTGGTACTTGGCCCTCCAGTATCTTCCAGGTGTATATGATTTGATATCTCTCTCGTCTTCTTTCTAGTGAGTACATTTGGAGGGCTTTGAGACGATCAAAATAATTTAGGTGCTTTATTGCGTCTATGCGTGTCATTTATGTTCTCTGTATTCCCTCTATTTCAGCAATCTCTCCTGCTCTGAAGGGGGAAGTGAGTACTGAGCAGTACTCAAGACGGGACAACACAAGTGACTTGAAGAGTACAACCATTGTGATGGGATCCCTGGATTTGAAAGTTCTCGTAATCCATCCTATCATTTTTCTGGCTGTCGCAATATTTGCTTGGTTATGCTCCTTAAACATTAGGTCGTCAGACATTATTATTCCCAAATCCTTTACATGCTGTTTTCCTACTATGGGTACATTTGATTGTGTTTTGTACTCTATATTATGTTTAAGGTCCTCATTTTTACCGTACCTGAGTACCTGGAATTTATCACTGTTAAACATCATGTTATTTTCTGATGCCCAGTCGAAAACTTTATTAATATCAGCTTGAAGTTTTTCAATGTCCTCAGCCAAGGTAATTTTCATACTGATTTTTGTGTCATCTGCAAAAGATGATACGAAGCTGTGACTTGTATTTTTGTCTATATCTGATATGAGAATAAGGAAAAGCAGCGGTGCAAGGACTGTACCCTGAGGTACAGAGCTTTTCACTGCACTTGGACTAGATTTTATATGGTTGACAGTTACTCGCTGAGTCCTGTTTGACAGAAAACTGAGTATCCAGCGTCCTACTTTACCGGTTATTCCCATTGACTTCATTTGTTAGCTGCCATGTTGTTGTTGTCATACTCTTGCCTGGGTCTTCTGTCATTTAGTGGATGTTTATATATCACTGCTACTACTCTTGGTCCCCCCACTGTCATGGTGCCTGTTATGAAGTCTCTGAACCCCTTGCAGCCCAAAATAACCATTTCCTTGAAACTCCATTTCTTTCTCATCAGTAGTGCCACTTCGCCTCCTCCCCTTCCACCCCCCTCTCTCCTTATTACAGTGTGGTCTTGGGGAAACACAGCATTCGTTATTATTCCTAAGAGTTTTGTTTCTGCAAGTCCAATTACATCCAGGTTCATTTCTTGTGCTCTTTCCCCAAGTTCACTTGCCTTGCTTGTGATCCCTTCTATGTTCGAGTACATTATTAAAGCGGACTCTCTCTTGTCCATCCCCAGTTTCTGTTGAATTCCCCAAGTTGAGGGACAATGGGTGTCTGGAGGGGGGGGGGGCTAGGAAGGAGGAGCTGGGGGACCTGGGGTGTGATGGGGTTGGAAGGATTTGGTACAGAGGGGAGGGGGGGCTGGGAGGGTATGGGGTGAGAGGGGGGGAGGGTATGGGGGTGAGAGGGGGGGGCTGGGAGGATATAGGGTGAGAGGGGGGGCTGGTAGGGTATGGGGTGAGAGGGGGGACTGGGAGGGTATGGGGTGAGAGGGGGGGGGACTGGGAGGGTATGGAGTGAGAGGGGGGCTGGGGGCTGGGAGGGTATGGGCGAGAGGGGACCGGAAGGGTATTGGGTGAGGTGGGGGAAGGGGGTACTGGGAGTGAATGGGGTGAGGGAGGGGGGATGGGGGTGAGGGAGGGGGGATGGGGGTGAGGGAGGGGGGATGGGGGTGAGGGAGGGGGGATGGGGGTGAGGGAGGGGGGATGGGGGTGAGGGAGGGGGGATGGGGGTGAGGGAGGGGGGATGGGGGTGAGGGAGGGGGGATGGGGGTGAGGGAGGGGGATGGGGGTGAGGGAGGGGGGATGGGGGTGAGGGAGGGGGGATGGGGGTGAGGGAGGGGGGATGGGGGTGAGGGATGGGGGTGAGGGATGGGGGTGAGGGAGGGGGGATGGGGGTGAGCGATGGGGGTGAGGGAGGGGGGGATGGAGGTGAGGGGGGGGGGACAGGAGTGAATGGGGTAAGAGAGGAGGGACTGGGAGTGAATGGGGTGAGGGTGGAGGGAGACCAAGAGTGAATGGGGTGAGGGAATGGGGCGAGGGGGGGGGAAGGGAGGGTTGAATGAGCATTTGAATGAGGACAGGGAGGGCTCAGTTAGAGGGGGGGGGGGGGGGGAGATTTCTATGGGGGTGTTGTCCTCTCCTCTGGGGTTGCTGGGGTGCTGGTTGGGAGTCTCCCCCCCCCTCTGGGGCTGTTGAATTGTGGGACTGTGGCTGCCTGGTTCTCTCCTCACCCCCTTCGCGTCTGCTGCTTTTACTCGCCATGTTCCTCTGGAGGAATATTTTTCTGTAACCTACCACATGGTACAAAAGGCTCTTCCTTCCTTGAATTGCCTCCTTTGTGTGCTCATTTGTAAACACCATCTTTATCAGGCAATCTCTGTCCTCGTTGTACCAGCCTAGCCTGAAAACCTTCTCTATACATTGTCCAGCCCCTTCCATCTGTAACCCCTTTAAGATCCCTCTCACTGCCTCCCTATCCTTACTAATCCATTCAGTCTTACTGGAGCATTCCTGTTCTTTAATGTCCACTACTTACACTGATCTTTCTCTCTCTCTAGCAGCTGACTAGGGCACCTTGCCACTTCCTGTGAGGTAGCTGCTTTCATGGCTATCTCCCTCACTGTGGCCATTGCATCTGGACCCTTCCTAAGTATTTCAGCAAATGATGCTTGTACAGTGGTACAAATGAGGAACTTCCACTGATACATTTCCATCAGATACGTGTCCATCTGATACATGTGCATGAGTGTGTGCGCGCGCTTGTGTAATTACCTAAGTGATGGTAATAGGTTTGCAGGACGAGAGCTATGCTCATGGTGTTATGTACCTAATCAACCTAGCAGTGACTTGTATGTCAGACTGCAAGCAGCTGCATCTAACAGCCTGGTTGACCAGACCAGGAGGCCTGGTTCGAGACTGCCAGGGACATTAATCCCCAGCACCCACATCAGGTAATGGGAAAGCCACTGAGTAGTCAAAACAAAATTATATTGTTGGTTTTAATTCCAAGTTTGGTAAAATCTGGATTATACATGAATTAGGATCCGATTAGGAATAATATTGTCATGATTTTGAAGCTGCTACTGTATTACAGACACATTACATATGCACATCTCTTGTGCCAAGTGAGTACGACGGGCTCACCATAGTCCGTGCTGCCTAGAATTTTTCGTTTCAAGCTGTTGAATCTAAAAACAACAATATGTATTACAGTATATAGGAAATATATAATGACCTAACCCTATAAATCAAAGCCCTGCTTTAGAAATGTCCCAAACTTAAAGGTGGTAACACTGGCAATTTCTGCCTCTAAAAAAATATTTCTTACCGTAGTGCTGTTTCTTCATACATTTTTAGAATTTTCACAGTTGCTGCAATTTTTGGTGCCCGCACTGGCAACTTGTTTACATCAGCTTCTGTCAGCTGGCTTAATTCACCAACAGTACGCACTCCCAGTTCTTCAAGAACAGCCATCAATCCCTCAACTCTGGATAAAAATGTAATAATAAAGTTTAAATAACATGGACCACTTAATTTATTAGGAGTATTTCAGAGATTATCAATATTTGATAATATCGATATATCTCGGCATCAATTATTTTTAATTTCTAAAAACCAGACATTTTCCACATGCACCAGGTTGTGCCTGCATATAAATCTCTATTAATGAAGGTGAAAGAGATGAAAAAATAAATAAATACATATATTGATAACACTTTATTAATATGCTTTATAATAGTCTGCTTTAAGCAGACCAATATGGACTGCATAGGTTGCATTGCGGAAGCACAAAGGGCTGGCATGTAAGACACAACGAGGTCAATGACATCATTAAGAGAAGCCTCGTCTCGGCTCGGTGCCCAGCGGAAAGAGAACTTCGCATCCTAGGGGCCCACCACCCGAATGACCCCGCACTTCGCCCTGATGGTATCACTATATACCCCTGGAAAACAGGCAAACTGTTGGTGTGGGACTACACGTGTGTATCCACCCTGGCTGACACCTATGTACACTTCGGAGCTGATCAAGCAGGTGGGGCAGCCAACCACAGGGAAACGGCAAAATCACTTATGTACAGGCGACTGGAAGGTCAATACCTCTTTGTTCCCATAACGTCTGAGACCCATGGCCACTGGGGCAAGAGTGCGTTGGGATTTCTCAAGGAATTGTACCCCAAGCTCATTGACGTCACCAGAGACCCAAGGGCTTCCAGTTTTGACCCCGTCAATTCCCCTGAGAATTTTGTAGGTGGTTATCATGTCTCCTCTTACTCTTCTGTTTTTCCAGGGTTACGAGGTTCAGCTCCCTTAGTCTTTCCTCGTAACTCATTCCTCTCAATTCCGGGACCAGTCTGGTGGGATACCTTTGAATCTTCTCTAACTTCGTCTTGGGTTTAATTAGGTATGGACTCCAGGCTGGAGCTGCATACTCCAGGATTGGTCTGACATAAGTAGTATACAGGGTCCTGAACAATTCTTTACACAAGTTTCTAAAAGCAGTTCTTATATTGGCCAGTCTAGCATATGCCGCCGCTGATATCCTTTTGAGGTGGGCCTCTGGGGACAGGTTCGGTGTGATATCGACCCCCAGATCTTTCTCTCTATATGACTCTTGCAGGATTTCACCTCCCAGATCGTACCTTGTGTTCAGCCTTCTGCTCCCTTCGCCTAATTTCATTACTTTACACTTTCCAGAGTTGAACTTAAGCAGCCATTTTCTAGACCATTCCTCCAGTTTGTCCAAGTCGTCCTGTAGTCTCTGTCTATCTTTATCTGTTTTGATTTTTCTCATAATTTTTGCATCATCAGCAAACATTGAGAGGAATGAGTCTATACCCTCTGGAAGGTCGTTTACATATACTAAAAACAGGATGGGTCCGAGTACAGAGCCCTGTGGAACCCCGCTGGTGACATCTCGCCACTCTGATGCCTCCCCCCTCACCGTTACTCGCTGTTTCCTATTGCTTAGATACTCCCTTATCCACTGGAGCACCTTACCTTTTACTCCTGCCTGCTGCTCCAACTTTTGTAACAGCCTTTTGTGAGGTACTGTGTCAAAGGCTTTCTGACAGTCCAAGAAAATGCAGTCTGCCCACCCTTCTCTTTCCTGCCTAATTTGTGTTGCTTGGTCATAGAATTCTATTAGGCCTGTGAGGCACGATGAACACCTTGGTCAACCTTATGTTTGACCCTTTATGAACACAAGCCATGAGTATTACCTCTATTTACCTGTAGTCAAGTTGTCTGATAGTTTGATTGGTGAGGCAGTTTGGCCCGCTGGCCCACATATCCATTACAACCTGGCTGATCCAGCACTTACTGTAAAACAGTACCTACAAATAATGTTGGCTACATTTACCTCAAGATCTCCTTCAGAGCTCCTCTCACAGAATTGGTATTAACTTCATCACATTTGTATTAACTTCTTCACAACCTTCCCATACATTCAGCACAGATAATTTATTTTTCTGTATTCCCTTTGGAAGATGTCATGTACATTATCATGTCATATACATCATGTACATTTCACTTGTGGTCATTACTTCTAGCCTTCCTTTTTTTTCCCCCCAAACCATTTCAAAACCTACTTAAGAGGCAAAAACATTCAAAACCCCTTTTCTTCTTTTTCTAATACAACTTTTTAGTTAAATTTGCTGTCAGTATTCTCAAGGACACAAGAGAACCAGCTTGCCAATTTATTCAATGTGGATGAATCATGAATTAAAGTACAAAGTATCTATGTAACTTACAATGCAGGAGAGGTTAGTAGGTGGGCCACTTGGTCAACCTTATCTTTGCAACTGGTTAGAGATGGATACAAGGCTTGGCTGCAGTCTAACATGGCAGGCGAGTCCGCTTCTTGGGATTCCTTATTACATGGGAAATCAATATCTGAAAAATTAAGAAAATCATTGTTCCAGTCCCTAGTTTTGGATTTTTTTAATCCAATTCATATTGATGACACACACGTGTGGTGTAAGCCGTTGGCATGAATAAACAGCAGCAATCAGGAGACCAGAGAGAGTGTGAGGAGGAGGGATGGGTAACAGTCGATCCCTCCCTCCCTAATTTGGTGAGAAAATTCTATCATTTCATGTTTGGTTTCATACGGATCACATAAATATAAATATATATAATTTTGATAGGAAAGTGTTCACTAATGACTGCTTTATCATGCTATACTCAAAATGAAGAATGTATAATAAATCAATTGTATGTATTCACCTAGTTGTGCTTGCAGGGGTTGAGCTCTGCTCGTTTGACACGCCTCTCAACTGTCAATCAATCAACTGTTACTAACTAATTTTTTTTTGTTTCCACACACACACACACACGCCAACCCTCCCTAGGAAGCAGCCTGTAACAGCTAACTCCCAGGTACCTATTTACTGCGAGGTAACAGCGGCATCATGGTGAAAGAAACTGCCCATTTGTCTGCCTAGTCCGGGAATCGAACCCTGGCCACAGGATTACGAGTCCCGCGCACTGTCCACTCAGCTACCAGACCTTTGGTATGTAACTTGCCGACTTGCCGAGTTTGTGTAAATCCTTGTCATTAAGTAATGTGGGTCTTACCAACAACTGTCATATACAGCAGTTATGACTTTTTTATGGATTTATTTGCAATGATTTTGCTTTATCATATGCCATTGTCAAAGTGAAGTTAAATTTATAATTCATCATAAATTTATGTGAATTTTGTTTAATATAAAGATTTTTTTGATAAGATAAAGATAAAGAAGATTTTTTCTTTCATCACATATAAATGTAAAGCAAGATGGATTATGAAGGATTTGTAGTTACCTAAAATGATTATTATGGAGATATTGTATTTCAAAATTCACACTGGAGTTAAGACTAACCATATACTATATTATATGTACAAATGGCAGCCTAGAAATTCCAAACCCTGCAAATATTAATTTGAATACTGTATTGGCAAGCTGACTGAAAAAGTTATGTATAAAATAATACTTCATCATCATCTATGAGGATGATGAAGCAAGTGAGGTGTGCAGAATAATTGAAATCATTGTCAAAGATAACTGGCCAAAAGCAGTACAAACAAAAACACCTCTTACTAGGTAAATTAAATGAATGGCATGAAACACACACAGAAATAGATACTAGCATAGATTTTGACTTTTTGCAAGGTTAAGGCCTATGCAGGTGTGGTGTCATTGCTGGGGGGGGGGGGGGGGGGCAAAGGAACACACTCAGTTTGTGTGTACTTTTACCTCCTTAAAAATAAAAATGGCCATTATTTTTTTACATGAATTTTAAGTGCTCCTCATACCATATAAATTTATATTTTATATATTAATATAAAATAAATATAATTAATATAATATATAATATATATAATAATATATAATAATAATATATAATAATAATAATAATAATATATAATAATAATAATATATATAATAATAATATATATAATAATAATATATATATATATAATATATATAATATATAATAATAATATAATAAAATTTTATATATTAATATAAATAAAATATAATATATATAAATATAAATTTAATATTTGACCTATTACCTTTCGGATGCACCCAGAATCATTCTTCTACCTCAATTAGGAGCCAAGATGGATGAAATTGAAAACAGGATGTTCTTGCGATCCCCCCCCCCAAAAAATCGGGGAAGCATAACTTTTAAACCAAAAGTTGGACTGATCTGAGATTTGTAATTTTGTGTAAAGACAAAGATATAGACCAACTTAGATGAAAATTGAAAGGGGACGTGGTTTTGGACACTGCATGATCTGTCATGGAACAGGTTAAATATTTAAGCACAATTTGTAATAAACTCTGACAAAGTATGCAATAAAATTTTCACCACTCAAATTACTCACCCTTTCCTGGGGATGAAGCATTAGTCATGTCTAGTCTCTTTTGTGCTCGAATGCGCTTCAAGGTGGTTGGAGAGGGAGGAATCTCAACGCGTTCCGAGACTGGAGGGTCGGCAAAACTGACACGTCTGCATTTTGTCGGCGGCGAAGGCGTTTCTTTATCTACAATATAAAGATTAATAACATTATTTCTTACCAATCATAGAGAATATGCATTATTACATTGAAGATTTAATAAGAACCAATGGGGGTCAAGTGTTATTTACAAATTTAACCTATGAATATTTTACACTAATAAGATTATATACACAGAGAAATCACATTAACGTGATATATCAAAGAAAAATCCACAGGAGTTTTGACGTGTGTTCCCAGACAGGCTCTTTACCATGTCGTGGTACAATTGACTAGAGTGCGTGTGGGAACACTCGGTGCCCAAGATTATCATCATGATCTGTCTTGAGGTTATCTCGAGATGATTTCGGGGCTTAACGTCCCCAAGGCTTGGTCCTCAACCAGGCCTCCTTTTTGTTACACATCCCCAGGAAGCAGTCCGTAGCAGCTGTCTAACTTCCAGGTACCTATTTACTGCTAGGTGAACAGGGGCATCAGGATGAATGAAACTGCACATTTGTTTCCGCCTCCACCAGAGACTGAACCCGGAATCTCAGGACTACGAATCCAAAGTGCTGTCCACTCAGATGTCAGGCCCCAGGCTTATAACAGATGGACTCAACAAAATTCATTCCACTTATGGTTGTATTCATAAAACAATAGGTGTTGGATGTGAAATTGGCTAAGTGAAATTAATAATGCTTAAAGGAAACCTTTCTTTTTCAAACAAAAATGCAATAGAACAAAAATACAAATCATATATTTTTATGAGTGAGAAAGTCGATGAAGATAATTAAAACAAAAGTAACTGATTTTCTTTTTCAGTTTGTCAAATTTTTGTTCCCATGGAGTTACGGTGCTACCATTGAGAATAAGGTCAAGAGGCTGGAGTATGGCCAAAATGCTGCTGATGGTAAAATCTCTCTATAATTAGGTTCTTCTGGTAGACCCGTCACACAGCAGGATCAACTTTAGATTCCGGTCAGTAAATTTACTCCAGTGTGGGAAAAGAATGGTATGAAAGGTGTCTGCTTTAATATTGTCCAAACAAGTTTTGGACATTTTCCTATATGGGCATAAAAAAAAAGAGCTGGTGTCATGGGGAAGCTATTCAGCATAGTTAAAACAAAAATTATATGGTTGGTTAACCATAACGTAATTAATATTATGGCGGTAAATATTACACAATTTTACTCACTGAAGCTCTCGTCTAGTGTAGATTTCTTCAAGATGCTTGTGGAAGGAGATGCTCCTGGAGAAGGTTCATATTTCACCCAAGGACGTCCACCCTCGCTAAAGAAGAACACAGCAACAACTAGAGATCTAGCATGAGCACAAGTCAAAATATTCAGGCTCAGGGATGCCTATAGGGTGATGCAATGAGCACCTGCTGGTGTAATGTGCCAAGAATAGTGTGATGAGCAGAATAAATGGAATAATTGTAAAAGGTGCCGTGTGAAAGAGGTACAGTACTTATCTGTTGGAGAGTATGGAAAATTGAATTCAGGCTTCCTAGCCTTATGTACTCCTGCTGAGTATTTATTAACACTCGCACTCTTCGAACTCCCCTGACGTTTGAAGAGCGTTAGTGGAACCAGGCCGCTGATTTTTTCTCGAGTCCGAGACGAAGACTCGTGCTGCGTCCGATACAAAAATATTTGTATAAAATTCATTTTTTATCCGATCGACTTCAGGATAGTTTCAATTGCGAACACAATGGAACCAAAACGAACGACGTAGCACGAGAATTAAGGTGAGAAAACTGAAACGAGTATACACATTTCAGTGTCGCCGCACGCCGGGGGCACGACCTCCAAGTTTGTGGCGCGCATCCCCAGGGCTCAAAAGTGTTAAATCTCTTCACATTCACATTCGTTCTATCTGCACATGAAGTTGTGGCTGCAGGTGACTTCCATGAACTCTTTTCAGTACATTCCATACCCATATACGTATTGTACAAATAATTCCTTACATTTATTGTGACTCGCTTGGTTTGAGTTTATAGCTTCCACCAATGTCCTCCAAATTTTCTCAATTTAAATATGCTCTCCTTGTTCAACTTGTTAAATCCCCCTATGTATTGTTGTACCTACAAAACTAGTAACTAATCATGTCCCCTATGCTGCTCCTCTCCTCTTGTCATTCACTTAACTTTCCATGTAGTTCTGTATTCTGTAATTGTATTATTTATTTGGTGCTTCACAAGGTGCAGATTCCCTATAAATGCTGCATAATCCATGTTTGGCCTCATAGGTTGAGTATATTATCTTAGAGTTCTTGCTTAGATCTGAAAATGCTATTTTATGTTTACTAGTTTCCTATAAGCTACTGATGTTATACAGTTTGAATTTGCCTCTAGTGTTACCAAAATTATATCAATTCCAATTTTTGTTTCTTTCCAATTCCTGTAGTTGGCTTTCTCTAATGATACAGATTCTTTCTGATCTCCTACTTCCCCTTCCCATTTTCATCACCTCACATTTGTTCAGCTTGACTGACACACACTTGAAATTTATCAGTCTTCTTGTAACACACCAAAGTCCTTCATTTATATATTCTTTAGTATTAGTTTTGCATCACTGCAAACACTGATATGTATCAAACACTGCTTGATTCACCATTGACTGATCCTTTGTTTTCTGACTATCAGGTACTCCCATATCTAGTTTAATATTTTCCCAATTTCTCTCCATCTTGTACACTAGTCTTTTGTGAGGAAACATTATCAAATTATTTTTTACACTACTGGAAAATTGGCCCAACCCCACTGCCTTCTTTTTATTTTTGTATGTAGATGACTATCATACATCTATAGTTAATCAGGCATGACTCCCCCATCCCACAATATTACAGGGTTTTCCTCCCCAGGTGCTTCATTACTCTCATTTTATTACATTTTAAAATACAATACCATACTTTGTAGGGAGTGTATATTAGTGACACTAGTTTGTAGGTTAGTGCTTTCTACCTGTCCACTTCAAAATTAGGAATACTCTTTATCTTATTCAGATTTCCTGGAAAATCTCCAGTCTCAAGGCAGTAGGTGGCGTGAATATCAGTCTTAATTAGTGTCTGATTTACAATGTACAAGACGACTTGATAATGGCTCAGGACAGACCAAAACATCGTCGTTTCTCCATCTTTCGATGTGTGGGTGTGTGCGTTGTTTGGTCATCATATGTATAGAGCATCTGTGATGGCAGTGAAAAGTGACCAACATATCCTATAAAACATACAAACTATTTTAATGGCAGCAATCAAACAATATTAGAGCTCTGTGTTAACCAGCCGTTCAGACAAATGACTTCCAGTAGAGGTAGTAAACATGAACTTTTCTGAAGGTTTTGGTAAAGTACCACATGGAAGATCGACAAGGCAATTGTAAGTGCATGGAATAAATGATAAAACACTAGAATGGATAAAACAATGGTAAAAAAAAAAGCAAATGGTCATTGTAAATGGAAATGAATCTGACTAGAGAAATGTGCTTATATGGGGGTACCACAAGGTTCCAACTTGAGGCCAACACTTTTTGTCATTCACACCAATGACAAGAGATAAGAAATTAAAAATCACATTATGAAATTTGAAGACACTAAGATCTACAGCAAAGTATGAAGTACAGGTACAGAGAAATCACATTTATTGTGATATATACCTGCTTGATGGGGTTCTGGGAGTTCTTCTACTCCCAAAGTTCAGTCCAAGGCTAGGTTTGACTTGGGAGAGCTAAGTCCAACAGGCTGTTGCTTGGAGCAACCCGCAGGCCCACATATCCACCACAGCCTGGTTGGTTTGGCACTATTTTCTTGAAATTTTTTGAAGGTCCAGGTTTTTCTTTAAGACTTCCACTTTTGTTCCAGCAATATTTCTTATACTTGCAGAGAGAATACTGAACAACTGTGGACCTTTGAAGTTCAGACACTTCTCTGATTGTACCTCTGGCACCTCTACACTTCACTGACTGTTTTACACTTCTCTCCATATCGTTCATTTCAGTATGTTGTTATTTTACTGTGCAAATTTGGGATGTGACCCTCCAGCATTTTCCAAGTACCTGTACAGGTATATATTAACTGATACCTCTTTTGCCTCCTGTTTAGAGAGTGTATGCTGAGAGCTTTGCAATGATCCCAATAGTTTAGGTGCTTTATCACGTCTGTGTGTGCTGCATATGTTATGTGTTCACTATTTCACCAATCTCTCCTGCTCTGAAGGAGAAACCGAGTCGGTGAGTATCAGGAAGTACTCAAAACGGGACAGAGCAAGTGATTTGAATAGCCTGAGCACTGTGATGGGATCCCTGGATTTCAAGGTTCTCTTAATCCATCCAATCATTTTTTAGCTGCAGTTATAATTGCTTGGTTACGTTCCATAAATGTTAGGTCGTAATTTTCTAACTGCCATTATATGTGCTTGGTTATGCTCCCTAAACGTTGGGGTCGTCAGACATCATTATTCCAAGATCCTTTACATGTGCTTTCCTACTATGAGCAGATCTGACTGTTTTGTACCCCTGTAATTTGCTTAAGGTCCTCACATTTTAATCATACGTAAGTACCTTTATGTTCCTATACATAAGTACAGTAATAATCATAATTTTTTTTTCCTTACCAATCAAATATTTTATTAATATCAGCTTGTAGTTTTTTAATGTCTTCTACAAAAGTAATTTTCATTCTGATTTATGTGTCATCTGCAAAAGATGCCACAAAACTGTTACTTCCATTTTTATCTATATCTAATATGAGAATGAGGAAAAGCAGTGGTCCAATGACTGTGCCCCAATGTACAGAGTTTTTCACTGTCCTATATTTGACTGCCTGTTACTCTTTGCACCTTTTGAGAAAATTGAGTATCCATCACCCTAATTTACGTGTTATTCCTACGGACCTCATTTTGTAGGCTATAACTCCAAGGTCACATTTATCAAATACCTTTGTAAAGTCTGTATATACCACATCTGCATTTTTTCTTCTAATGCATCAGTGATTTTTTCATAGTACTTACGTTGTTGCTGCTGTACTCGCCTAGTTGTGCTTGTGGGGGTTGAGCTTTGGCTCTTTGGTCCCGCCCTCTCAACTGTTAATCCATTGGTGTACAGATTTCTAAGCCTACTGGGCTCTTATCATATTGACATTCTGAAGATAATGGTTGAATAGCTGTGAAAGGCAGGATCTCCCTGCTCTAAATCCAATTGGCCTGGGTTGTAGATGTTATACACTGATCTTCACAAAACTGAAGATCTGACTACTAATCACTTATAAAAATTATTGGAACCTGTTAAGCTAATGACTCAAGGAGAGATAAACAATGGTGGATATTAGGTGAAAGACTGACTAGTGTTGACACGAGAGCCGACAGCTCTCGGGATGCTGTCACCTTGCGGCAGCCAACGGTAACTAGGAGGGTTTGAACTACAGGGTGAATCATTTGCAGTTGTGATCACAAAACACAGTTGTTCACCATGGCTCGCACCAAGCAGACTGCTCGCAAGACCACAGGAGGCAAGGCTCCTCGTAGGCAGCCGACTACTAAGGCAGCCCGCAAGTCTGCGCCTGCCACCAGGGACATGATGAAGCCTCACTGTTACAGATCCGGAATGGTAGCCCTGCACGAGAGCTGTCGTTGCCAGAGGAGCACCGAATTTCTCATTGGGTAACTTCCCTTCCAGTCATCTACTCGCAAGGCTTTACAGGAGGCATCCGAGGCTCACTCAGTCGGTCTCTTTGAGGACACTAAACCTCTGTGCCATCCACCCCAAGCATGTCCTTACCATGCCAAGGGACATTCAGCTTACTCGCTGTATCTGTGGAGAGCGTGCATAGGCTAAATTAGCCACCATAGCAAACAACAGTATGAGCCACCATATAAATTGTATACTGTGGTGGTTGATGTTGCAGAGTTGTTTGCTACTTCATTTCTCTCTTTTCTGTAAACCTTGCTCTTGCCTATTTTGCTTCCCTTACTTTCTGGATCTTTCCATTGGTTAGGGAGAGTATAAAGAATCCCTTGCTTCAGAGGCCTGTTAGGGACTGAGGGGACCAGGTTCTGGCTCTGGTGTCCAGTAGCTACTAAGGACTCCTGGGGCTTGTATGACACGTGTGGTGGTCTCTGTGCAACTAGGGCAAAACAAAAATGAAAACAATATGGTATCCCCTACTTGCAATACCTAATTATAACCTGCACAGATGTTATACAACTACAGTAAAAACCTAATTTGACAATATGGCTGTTTAATATATTGTACCTAATTTGTATTCTGAATTTATTTAATAAAAACTCACCCGTCGACAAATTTTCTTTTACGATTTGGTGGCGTGCTGGGAGAAACCCGACATGGAGCACTCCTCCTGTTAGGCGATCCACTATGACGATAACGTGATGCATCTCCTGGCAAGATGTAAATTACAATACTTTACTTTCACTCCACAAAGTATTGTATATAAAAAAATATTAGCACATGTTTAATTCCTACAGAGAGCACGGACCTTTATTTGAGTAAATAAATTCTACAAGCGAATGTTGCACTCTACACTTGCACCTGATGGGGGCTTCTCTCTGGTTACCCCAACATGCTCCAAACTACTTTCAGGGATTATCATTAAAGTTATCAAACTGCTCAGAGCAGAGTTATTTAATTGAGACCATAACTAAGTTCATTTAAATTCAACAATGCTAATATTCATTTAAGCCTTCATGCTGTAAATCTACTCCAACAGAAAGAACTAAACCTGGAGGGAATTGGAATCTGCTGACAAAGAAAACTACCGAACTTATCCTTAGACTGGAACACTCAGATGATGGCCGAGTCCCCAATACAAGAACAAACCACGGTTTCCCCAACCGAAGTCCTGAAGAGGAGTCAAGGATCCCATTACACAGGAAGAGGACCCCACAAAAGGAGAATGGCTTTTCAGGAACACGCACACCTGAACCCACAAGGGAAGCAACACTGGCTGGACAGGGGCAACACCAGCAAGCACCTAGGGAAGGAAACTCTAAAACACACACACACAGCTCAAGGTGAACCAAGACTAAAGCTCACAATCTCCCCCACTCTCTAGAGTGGGAGTGGGCAAGTAGTGAAACAGGAGAGAAAGAGGGGAAGGAAGAGCAACATAAATTTTGTCTCCCTAAAAGACAAAATCGTGTGTATGAGCATAATGATTTTTGTCTTTTCCTACAAAAAAAAATTGCACCATTGCCATTAATCAAGAATACTTATCTAACCTGTCTAAAATCAGTGCAATCAATAGTATCGTCCTTCAGACGTCCTTCGTAAAATCGTTTGTAACATCTGAATATTATTGTAACATTACCATTGTACATACCTGTATATACAGAACCCTAAGTGGAATCCACAGTCCACTCTATGCATCTGAATATATGTAAAATGGTAATGTTACAATAAATTTCAAGTGTTATAGAGAAAGAACAAACATACTGTACATACCTCCACATTTACATGGCGAGTCTCCTTCATTTGCTTCCCGGTTCCTGATGTTCTGCTTAGCACAAGCAACCAACATTGCTGCTCGAGACCCAGCATACTTAAATGAACCCTTTTTCTTTTGTCTTTCTGGAGTACTAACGGCTGAATTCAGTCTTGACATGCAAGGTTTCTCAGGTGAATGTTCTTCCTCTTGCTGCCTGGTTGTAATACTGAATGCAGAGAGAGTCTTTTCAGCAGCTTTAAACGAAACGCTTTCCAAGTTTTTATCAACTTTCTCTGACACGTTATTATTGTACTTCACTGAATCCCTGTCATTTTTTTTCACCAGCTCTTTTTTTTCATTCTCAGAATAGTCAATACATGTTACATTTGAATCATCCATCCCCTCTCTTGTATTTTTCTGGTCTAAAGTACCTTCAGCTACCTCCTCAGAAACATTTATCTTTGCTTCTGAACTTCTATTATTTAATTCTGGAGAATTTAGAATGCAAATTTCTTTTGAACTACTTTCACTAGGCACGTTATTATCCGACTTTCTTGATGTTTCTGATCCTTTAGTTACCTCCACAGATCGTAAGTTCTCTAATTTCTTGGACTTATTGCTTAATTCCTGATCATTTGTATTTGCCTTTATAATCTCTATTCTACATTGTCCATTCTTTGCAGTTACTGATTTATCAGCACCGCAGTTAGATAACTTCTTATCACTATTTCCATGAATTTCATTTTGTTGTTCATGTACTGACTCACCATCTTGAGAAGAACTAGAGTCTTCCAATGTGTTGTTCTCATTCTTGTGCATTACTGCCTCGCTCTTTCCCTTTACTGGAGAAAGCACATCGTTAGCACTTGTTGTTTGTGGTTCTCTATCTCCTTCAGGCTCCAAACTTTCACCTATTTGCATTACGTCATTTACTTCAGACAAATTACTGACACAAGGAATTATATCATTAACAATTTCAGATTTGGAGGTAATGTTTTCCTTTATTTTAGAATGTCTGGTGGATTTTCCAAGTATTTTATTGCACTTAATATCTTCTTCACTTTTACAAACTGTGCTCGTATCACCAGACTTGACTTCTGCATCAGTGCCGTCGTCACCATCTACATCTACGTCACTGCTACTACCTTCACCTTCTTCATCCAGTGTTTTGATAGGAGTATCTCTCTCATTACTTTTCTCACCTAGGGACCCAGTGTCCTTCCTTGGGGACTCCTTTGTGGAGGAGTGTTTAGGTTCTTGAGCCACTGAAGAAGATATATTTTCATACATAACCAATACTGACTTGTTTCCTTCTAGTGTATGATCATCAGCATCAACTTCACTATCTGTTGATGTTGATTCTTCCTTTCTTGGAACATAATCATCTTTATCGTCATATTGTGAATCATTTAAGTCATCCATTTCAGGGAGTGTGTCGCCATCAGAGTTATCATTAGCTTCCATTTCAGATATTTTCTTGTCACTTTTATTAAACAAATCTGTAATTTTCTTCTGGGCGGACTTCTTCGGAGTAATTTTCAGGGAAGATGCCAAAGTCTCTGTTACTTTAGGATCATCTACACAAGATTCTTCTGTGGATTCTTGTAATTTTCGCTTTTTTGAACTAGGGGGAGTCATAGGCTCTGGCATATCTTTATTTGGAGCTACAATCTTCCGTCCAGATCTAGTAACTTTGGTTGGGGTGCAGGGAGATAAATTGCTTCCAGCATGATCAGAACTAGGTTGACTGTCCATGGAGTTGAAAGAATTCTTGCGAGTGAGCCGAGTTTGTGATTTCGGCATTTTTCTAGCCGCCATCACTGATATTTCTTCAATAACCTTTTGCTGCTTTTGGTTTTCCTTGCCCTTTTTTTGACATAGCCCTTGTTTATCCTCCTCTTGTTCTCCACCCTTGTCTTCAATTATTAACACTGAATCATCACTTGAGCTTTGCTTCTCAATTGGCAACTGCTGAGTTTTGTCTTGAATTTTCTTCTTCTTGTCTAGGTTAACTGTTAACTCATCCTCCTCTGATGAATTTCGCTTTCTTTTTGATCTTGAAAATTTGCGAGGAACTTCATTTGTATTTCTATTCGTGTCCCTAATTACGCTTATAGATTTGCCCCTTAAAGAAATTGGAGATTCTCTATTAAAAACAGATACATACAAGTCAGTTTTCTCAGCTACTTGTGAGTCTGGAATCTCATCCTCTGAATCCGTGTCAGACACAGCATATTTTGAATTCAATTGTTTAGCTAATAATGCACCATCCTTAAGTTTTACTTCTGGAACTTGTTTTGCAATCTTACGGTCGAGAATCACACTTGGAGAGACAGCCACCTCCCTGAAATTTATTCTCTGTTCTTGCATTTGCTTCTTAGATGGAAGAGGGGAGTCAATTTTACTTGTGTCTGAACTTACTTTCTTGGACAAAATTGTGCCTTTCAAGCTTTTACGCACATCATTTATATTCTTTTTTGTGGGTGCCTTTGCTTTCCTTCGATGAAACTCGGATGATTTTAATGCTGTATTGGAATCATCACTTAAACTATCCAAAGATTTCTGAAATTCAAGAGATGTTCTTCTTAATTCTTCGTTCAAGTCTTCATCCGTGTAGTCACTATCTCCACTGCCATATCTCCTTAAATCTTTTTTCTTTTTGCCAGAATAAGTTTTTATATCAGTTCTTATGACACATTCACTGTCCTCATCAGAATCTTCACTCTTGTCCTGTTCATCACATTCTTCCGATGGATTCAGTAATTTTGGATTTGAAGCCGTTCCATTTACAACATTAGACATTTCATTAATTTCTTTTTTGCTTTGTATTTTTAATCGGTTAATCTCATTGCCTTCAGTATTCTCAAACATTTCAATCACATTCATCGATTCCAATTCACCACAGCCAGCAGAAGTTTCAGTATCTTTGGTTTTTGCTTCAGACTGCTCTGTTCTCTCCCCATTATCTACAACAGTTTCGCTAAATGGTTTTGCTGCATCATTTTTATGTTCAGTGTTTTTTTCTAACTCATTTGCCTCTTCATCTATCTCACTTTCAGGTTGATTTTGTGTGTTTGAAGATAGTTTCCCCTTAAATGATAAATCATCTATACTTGGTTTATTAACACTACTATTTCCTCCTGTAGCTTCCTTTAGCTCACTGCACTTACTATCATTTGTATCTGGTTTCTTGAACGAACTTCCTTTTTTCATGTCAACTGATGAGCTGTTGAAAAATTTAATGTTTAACTATTAATAAGCAAGTTTTCAATTACAAAATATATTATATTATTTTTGCTAAAACTTTTTGCATGCACTATCCCTAAATCTCCAAACCTAGGCATTAATAAAACCAACTCTTCACCCCTACCCAGTACCCATATATAAAGCAAGCACATAGATAAAGTCAATTACAAATAAATGGCATTCTCAGGGTTAAGTGATTCTACTGAATGGCCACCCTTTCACGTTCAACACCTGGACATTTATCAAAATATTTGTGATGCTCTTAAGACTTAATAAGGTTCCCAAAATATTCTATAGGTATTTGTAAACCGGCAAGTAAACCTTAGTCCTAAACAGAGAATATTCTCAAATTATAACTGTATTGTATTATCAATCCAGAGTTTAAAATAGAAATTATCTGTAGTATAATCATTTTCTTTGACGAGCTCTAGGGCGAAAGTTTTCTTTAATGACAAATCCTAGGGGATCCTCAAACAGTTCTTATGATGATAGAAACCCTAGGGGAGGGAAGGTGTCAGGGAGCCACTGGGTTTCACCCAGAAAATGACATTTAATTATATTCAACATTGGAAATTTTGGGGAAAGCCCTTTTGTGGCTCCCTTAAAAAAAAGGGCACTTACCAGGAAGGAGGCAACACCAAAGTTATCAAAGCGATGAAGAGACCATCGACCTTGACACATGACCCAAGGCCACACAAGGCTACTGGGAACGTTCACAAGATACCTGGCCACCAAAACCCCCATGCCTAAATATCAGTCCAAGACATAGCTATGAGAGCAGAATACTGCTCACACAGTACAGTACACAGAAAACACAGCTATGAGAGCGGAATACTTGCGGATATCATAGGCACGAGGGTAGACTGCAAGCTGGCTACACTTAATGACATTGTGGACGACCTGAGAAATACAAGCCATGGAACAGGGAATTAGGGAAACCGGTTCCACAAGAGAAGCTTCACCGAGTATTCCACGTCCTCCGAGAGCAAATCAGAATGAAGTCCCAGGAGGCATAAAAAATGCACGACAGAGGCCAAGTTCGAGCGGGCACGAAGGTCATCAGCAATAAAAGCAGCCAACAGTAATCAACGCAGCTAAAACTAAGGTATTTAACAGACAAATTGGTAATCGCAAAAGTGGACCACGAAAACTTAAGATAGATAACATACCAACTGACTATTTCAATTCTTTCAAATACGTTGGGGTCTATCCCTTGTACCTTAACTGCAGTCAATAAGTTATGTCAACAATGTAGAGATAGACTCAAGGCTCTCAGAACTGTAGTGGGGTTCAGCCCTAAATACAATATTAATATTGGAATAGCACAAATGATGTACTTAGCATATACAGTGGAACCTTCGAATAATGAATTTAATCCGTTCCGGCGCCATGATTGTCATGTGAAACGGATGTCATACAAAACGAATTTCCCCATTGACAATAATGGAAATCAAATTAATCCGTTCTACCACCGAAAAACAACAATATGACAGTCGATGTTTTAAATAATGGAGCAGCCTACCTTACACTGAACAAACCTTTATAATATTTTTCTTTCTTCAAATTTGTTCAATATTTTTTTTCATTTGTTGTATAGCAAAAGGTTTGTTCAGTGTTCGGCAGGTAGGCAGCTTCATGTTTCTTAAATAAACAAAAAATAAACAAATTAAAAAATGAAGAATTTTGAAAAACAATAAATGTCAAAAAGGTTTGTTCGGTGTTCAGCAGGTAGGCTGCTCCATGTTTCTAAAAAAAAAAAAAAAAAAAAAAAAAAAAAAAAAATTGAAACAATTTGAAAAACAGACATGCCATAAAGGTTCGTTCAGTGTTTGTTCGGTAGGCTACTCCATTATTGAGACAAATGAAAAATACAAAAATGGAACGCATTTGAAACAAAGAGATTGTCATAATAGAGCAGCCTACCCGACAAACACTGAACAAACCTTCATGGCATTCATCTGTTTTTCAAATTGTTTCAACTGTTTTTTTTATTTTTCGTTTTTTTTTAGTTAAGAAATATGGAGCAGGCTACCTGCGGAACACCGAACGAACCTTTTGCTATAAAAAAATGAAAAAATATATTGAACAAATTTGAAGAAAGAAAAAGTCATAAAGGTTTGTTCAGTGTATGTAAGGTAGGCTGCTCCATTATTTAAAACATCGAATATCATATTGTTGTTTTTCGGCGGTAGAACATTAATCTGATTTCCATTATTGTCAATGGGGAAATTCGTTTTGTATGACGTCCGTTTTTTCACATGACGAGCACAGCGCCAGAACAGATTAAATTCGTTATTCCAGGTTCTACTGTATTAGTTATGATTAGAGTATCAGAATTAAACAAGATAAAGTGCTTACTCTTCAAAGGAATACTGAGAGGCAAATTGTGATGGCAGGATATCTTGTGAGACAGCTTGAGAGAGCTCAGAATATAAGGCAGGGATGTCAGACCTTCGTTCAGTCATTCGTTCAACCTGATGCTCTGTTAGGACTCTTCTCTTGGGCTTGGGAGATGTAATCTTCACAAAGTCCTGTTGAATGAAATTCAGAGGTTTCCATTATCCAAAAAATTTATCTTGATTTAAAAAATAAGACACATACAATTTTGATATAAAACAGACATCCCTTTCTCATATAAAACAAGATAACATTTTATGTTTACCTCATCTTTCATATCTTCCAATTTTGTTTTTGGCTTACTCTTGTTTTTGGAAACCGGTGTACTACGATTTAGCCTTCCTGATAATGGAGAATTAACTCTCGGAGATTCTCGAAGTTTTCTTTCCCCTACAATATCATGTTTAAGCAAGCTACCTGCCTGATTAGCTGAAAAAAAGAGAAAGATGAAAGTAATTAAAAAAAAGGGTACACTTAAAACTATTCAAAGGTACACTTACAACTATTGTCTGAACTCACCATACCAGCTTAGTTGTACAGTTATGTTGAACAAAACACGTAGATACTTGTATATAATGCCAGTATATAATAAATAAAAGCAAAAACAGTAAGGTGGGAGGAGGAGGATTGTTGGCAAGTGAGGCGAGGTGAGGGAAGGAAGGAGGCGGCGTTTGCTGGCTGGTGTGTGGGTGGCCACTCGTCGTTGGTATGACTTACCATACCAACTTAGTGGTTTGTTATGGTCAATAAAACATGCAGATACTTATATATAACTTGTGTATACAGTGGCACCTTGACTTACGATTGCCCCAACTTACAATAATTTCGAGTTACGATGTAAATTTGATCGAAAAATGCGACTCGACATATGATGGTGTTGTCGACTAACGATATTTGTTGGTACACGTTTGGGTCGACCGAGCGCGTGGTTCCCGGTCACGTGGGCCAACCTGCCTCAGTTTACTACAGCAGCCCGCTTAGTGACATCATGCCTATAAGAAATTCCATTTTTGTGGTTATTAATTATGCTTTTTGAACATAAAAGTAATTATTATATATCACTCCATGCATCCCAAGAAAGTCAGTGGTAAGGTTCAACATATGAAAACCCATGTAAGGATGACCATAGAGCAAAAACAAGAGATCATTCGTAAATATAAAGATGGTGTGCGGGTTGTTGAACTAGCAAGGCAGTACAACAAATCTCAGTCAACAATATCCACCATACTGGCTAAGAAAAAGCACATTATGAGTGCTAAACTGGCAAAAGGCGTATCAATAATCACGAAACATAGAACACAAACAGTTGAAGATGTTGAACAATTATTATTAATTTGGATATACAGCAAGGAGTTAGCGGGAGATAGAGTTTCAGAGGCCATCATTTGTGAAAAAGCAAGGAAATTGCATGAAGACCTTTTAAAGAAAACCCCTGGAATGAGTAATGCAAATGCAAAAGAGTTTAAGGCGAGCAGGGGATGGTTTGAGAAATTTAGAAAAAGAAGTGGCATTCATAGTCTTCAGAGTGTTGTTTGTTGTGAGCTGGTGGAGGAACACAGCGAAGAACTGACCACCGAAGAACTTCACAAGGAGCAGCAACAAGAGACAGTCGAGGAAATTTCTTAAGGGGAGGAAGAAACAGTACAGAATGTCCCTTCCTCATTAATTAAGAAGATGTGTGCAGCATGGGAAGAATTGCAAACTTTTGCTGAAACGACTCGCCCAAATTACGGTGCAGAAGGCCGTTGCCTTAACCTTTTTAATTAATGACACTGTGATTCCTCACTACAGACAAAAATTAAAACAAATGGAAAAACAAAAATCTCTGGAAACATTTTTAGTGAGACAAACAAGCAGTGAATCACAACCAGGTCCTAGTGGTATGCAGGCAAAACATAGGAGAGTGTGTACCCCAGAGAAGTCATCACTGCCTGATGTTATAATGAAAGGGGACTCCCCTTCCAAACAGTAACACCTCTCCTCCTCCCCCCTCCTCACCATCTTCCATACGCATCATGAGTCCTCCATAAAGGTAAGATAAACATATGCACTGTATTGTAGTTAGAAAAAAAACATTGTATTCAGTATAAAATGTTTACAAGTTAATATTTTGGAGGGTGGGGAACGGATTAATTCAATTCCCTTTATTTCTTATAGGAAAAATCGCTTCGACTTACGATCCGTCTCTGGATTACCATCGTAAGTCGAGGCCCCACTGTATAATGTAATAACAGCAAAATTATTTGTTCATTGTTTTATGGACATAATAATTGAATAACTAATATGCACACCATATTTTGAGTATAGTGATGATTCACACATTTTATTATATAAATATATCATAATACACACTATTGAATAATATTACTGCAAAAAACTAAGGAGAAATCAATCAGAGACATTGAAATAATTATGTAATATCTTTTGTGGCAACTCCTGCCTGACAGCTCTGGCAAAGCTGACCCGCCTCCTATGATTGCTGTCAATGCCTTGATTTCAATTTTGCCAGACATCCTCACTGTTTTGCGGCCAAACTGTGTCACCCCCCCCCCCAGGTCAGGGACCACAAATGAACACTTTCATAAGAGGAAAATTTTGTATTATTATTTTCGTAATTTCTTGCGCCTGGGCGTGTCGCAGGCTATAATTACAAGAGCAGCCCAGGAGTTAATGTTAAGCTTTAACACTGTAGAAAACTTACCTGGAAGATTTTCTTTGGGACTGAGACTTAGGGAGTCTTCCATATTTTCATGAAGGTCTGTTAGACTTGCAGGAGGAAGACCACATTCTTTCAAAATATCAAAAAGATTTGATGGTATACATAAGCTTGTAGATGCAAAAGAACTCCTCCAAAGTTTGTGTGCTTCTAATTTAATGTGTTTGTTACTGGATTTCAATGACACAACAAACAATGGTGCTATTCTGTTGAGCTGATCAGCACTGTGCTTTGTACCAAAATATTTTTCTAACAATGCCCCAAAAGTTTTGAACGTTGTAATGAACTTTTTTTCAATTTCAGCATTAAACCTAGCAGCGGGGTTTACTTTCAGGGAGTCACACATTGGGCTGATCACTTGCTCTACCAATGACTCCACCATTTTTGTTTGCTGAACACCCTTGAAAACATGAACGATGGCTTCACATAATTTTGCCGCAGCACGCTGCCTTTGATTGGACACTATACGTAACACTCTCTGCAAGAGAATCACATAAAGTTCTACACAAGCTGCCAAGTTGTGAAGTGGATGAGGTTTCTTTCTTGGCTTTGCTGGACTATTAACAGCTGAAAAAAATTAAAAAAAATTTATATGAATTACACAAGTACAGTATAGTCTTAAGTATTTAAATTTGATTCATTAATGTCAACACAAAATATTGGGGTCAATACAAACATACACTTCTCATCCTGTGTACTCAGTACTCATTATGCAGCCACAAGAAGTACAGGAAGTTAATGCATGAGCGTTACCTAACTTAGCAAGCAATTAAAATTTTCACAAAATTTAATAAACTTGTTTTCATCAAATTGGTAAAACCCCACCTTACTAGTAAAATCTTTTTATTAATTCTAAATAATTCAATGACTTACATCTCACAGAGGTTTTGCCCAATTCTGAATATGTAAACTTTTCTGTAATAACTGCCAGAACATGTGCCATCAAAGTATATGTAGCAGCATGGATGTCAGGCGGCGCTGTAAGCTTTCCAACACACACATTAATCAGTGCACGAGCCACATGCTCCACTTCACTATTGGCATCGGCCGTGGGAGTTAATGGAGTTAGCTCAGTAAATTTGATCCACAGTTCAATCCAGTCTGTCATGATTTGCTGTTGGGGAAAAGATAATTATATTTCAAGCCCACAATAAATACTATTTCAGACACTTATTGCTAACAACAATTACCAGTGTAATCCTACATTCAAAATAAAGATACAAACAGTTTATAGTTTATAAAAAATTCTTTAATATTGGTTAATGACAAGGAAACTTATTACTAAAAATCTTTACTCTAAAACTATCAGGAGCCACTTTACTGTGAGGGTCACAGTAGTACAGTCGGGTTTGTTCTCGACGCACAATCGAGAATTCCGGGTTCAAATCCCAGGCGGCACAGAAATGGTTGGGCACATTTCCTTTCACCTCATGACCTGTTCATCTAACCATAAATAGGTATCCGGAGTTAGTCAGTGTGTTGTGGGGTTGCATCCTGGGCAGGGTCAGTAATTCGACCCTTGGGGTAGGGACCTCGGAATAAGCCTAACATATACTGTATGTATAAACCTGACGTCCTGCACCCCCAACACAATGCATTATTAATTATTATAAAAGTACCACAAGAACTAACAAAATCCTTACTATAAAAGCACCACAATAACTAACAAAATCTTTACTATAAAAGCACCACAATAACTAACAAAATCCTTACTATAAAAGTACCACAAGAACTAACAAAATCCTTACTATAAAAGCACCACAAGAACTAACAAAATCCTTACTATAAAAGCACAAGAACTAACAAAATCCTTACTATAAAAGCACCACAAGAACTAACAAAATCCTTACTATAAAAGCACCACAATAACTAACAAAATCTTTACTATAAAAGCACCACAAGAACTAAGAGAATCTTTACTCTAAAGGTACCATGAGACATAATAAAATCTAAAATTCCAAACTGCATCACCAAAAATATATAAATAAGAATTGTCAACTTACTTGATAGACGAGGTGATCCGCAGAGCTGAGAGCATCAATGGAGTGATTGATAGGGAAGAGAAGAATACTGTAGATGCAGCTCCAATCATGCTCACCACCATCACCCTGATCTATGATCTGTGTCTGATAATATGCACTGTATTAAGCAAAACAATGCAAACTAAGCATAACATGAATTCATTTGTCTACAGATGTGTGCAAATGAAACTTAATGTAGAGTTTGAACTTTTAAGTCACAGTTGCATTCAAATTTGGCTTATACACCCAGCAATACAACAATTAAATAAACATTATATATCACACTATATAAACTTTGATGGCTAGAAAACTTTTTGCTGCCAGTGGTGACATGTAAATAAATATTGATTTATAGTAAAAGAAATTAATACCACATGAAGTTAAAAAAAAAGTTAAAACTAACTAAAGTAAATTTACTTCTAATAGTGATTATGATTATAAAAAAATTTGCTCACACTTATTTGTGTCTCAAACAACTCTCGGCAAAAGCATCCAGCACATATTCGTTTATGTCCCGAAAACCCCGGTGTACATATACACCATATCATTACCTTATTTCCAACTTTCATGGGGGGGTAAGCAAATTATTGCTTCGTAATGTTTGGGTGAATAATAATTATTTACACATTTCACAGTATCATTGTTTACATATCAGGTGTGTCTAAATAAGCTGAAAGGGAAGCACTGTTAAACTGAGGCGTGATCACCGTGGCACCACGTGCTAGGTTGGCCATACGCGTATTAATAAACTCATTTCCCAAGGCAAAGTTTGTAACCCGATTTGAATTTTCCGTAGAAATTGGGCTCATAACCCAAAGAGTTCGTAAATACTCCGAATTCGTAAGCCGAGGTGTCACTGTACAGGGGTACCTCAGTTTTCGAATTTAATCCGTTCCTAGAGACAGTTCGTGACTCAAAAATTTGTAAACTGAAGTTAATTTTCCCATAAGAAATAATGGGAAATGAATTAATCCGTTCCAGACTCGCCAAAAAATTAACTTCAAGATAAATTTTATACCTAATTCACCCAAATCTTAAGTACAAAAGTATGTACAAATTATTACTGTACTTATCTTTATTGACGACTCCTGTTGGTGTATGGAAGACGGTGAGGAGGGGAGGGAGGAGGAGAGATGTTACTGTTTGGAAGGGGAGTCCCCTTCCATTATAACATCAGGCAGTGATGATTTCTTTGGGGTACATACTCTGGCACATTTTGCCAGGATGCAAACCACTAGGACCTGCTTCTGGCTACCTCCTCTATTTTCTCACTAGAAATCGTTCCATTGAAGATTTTTTTTCCCTTCTTTGTAACACTTGTCTGTAGTGAGACATAACATTGTCATTGATAAGATCAATGCAACGACCTGCTAAAGCTTTATCTGGGTGATTCTCTTAAGCAAAACTTTGCAGTTCTTCCCATACTGCACACATTTTCTTAATTAATGAGGAAGGGACATCATCTATTGCCTCCTCCTCCACCCCTGAAGATTTGTTGTACTACCTAGCTAGTTCAACACGGGTAGCATTTTCATGTTTACGAATGATCTGTTTTTCCCGCTAAGGTCATTCTCACATGTGTTTTCTTGCCTTGAATCTTACCACTGGCTTTCTTGGGACCCATGGCAAAATATATAATAACAAATTTTATGTTCAAATAACCAAAAATACGAAAAAACTGTAAATCCTTGGAAAGAATTCAGATGCGATAGTCACTAGACAGGAGGCACTGGGAAACTGAGGCGCGATCGCCGTGCCACCACGCGCTAGGTCAGCCATACGGCGCGATCGCCATGCCACCACGCGCTAGGTCAGCCATACGGCGCGATCGCCATGCCACCACGCGCTAGGTCAGCCATACGGCGCGATCGCCATGCCACCACGCGCTAGGTCAGCCATACGGCACGATCGCCATGCCACCACGCGCTAGGTCAGCCATACGGCGCGATCGCCGTGCCATCACGCGCTAGGTCAGCCATACGGCGCGATCGCCGTGCCACCACGCGCTAGGTCAGCCATACGCATATCCTGAGGTAAAGTTCGTAACCAATTCAAATTTTCCGAAGAAATCGGGCTCGTAACCCGAAAAGTTCGTAAAGAGGGGCATTTGTGAGCCGAGGTACCATTGTATATTATTTGCAGTAAGAAATATTAGGTGGGAGGATAGGTAGCCCCAAAAAGTGCAATTTTCTAAAAGGTCAGATTTAGTCCAGAATCATATGAACATGATTTTAGTGGAAGCATTGTTTAATGTATTAGCATGTTTAAATTTGCAAAAGTACAATTAAAACTAAGAAAATGTGAAAATCGTAAATAAAAAAAATGAAAGGGGTTTGAAACAATATTAAGGTCCCATAGTAGATGATTAAAATTCTTGATGTCATTTCAGGTTGGAAAACGTTTTTCACCATTGTCTCTTACCATACAATGAACAAGCAGGGATCTTATACCAACAGATCTAACGTGCACTAGTGAATGCCGACCTGGTCTGGCTATGTCTAGCCCTTTCACTGGGAAATATAGGACATTGCCTAAAGAAGCAACTGTGCTGTACACCTCAAAAATGCTCTAATAAAAACTCTAGGTTTTTAATTTTAACTAGCAAATCAAATAGTTTCTGGTACTAACAGAGTAGTAGTAGTAAATCTGGTCATATAATTCCATTATAAAAATCCACTGTAAAGGGTTTTACAGTGGGTTTATGTACACTACATGCTGTATTATCATTGAGTAGTTTAATATTATGAAAGCACATGAGTAGCTTTAGTTCAAAATAAATTTAATGATACAATATTCCAAAGACATCTGAGAGCCAAGCAGCAGCCAAAAACATTCAATATGATTTGAAAATATAAATTCTAAAGAAAAAAATTAAGACGTACTACTTTACGTGCAAGAATATCAAATATTAACCTCTTGAATGTGTTCAATGAGTTGATGAACAACCGTAGACCACATCTGTACCAGTGTATTAGGGTTAGCAGGGCAGAGAACTGCAGCAGCACAGTCCAACTCCTTCATTACAGACTGCAAGAACCCAAGTTTTCCACTTAAAGGCTTGCTATTTGCCAGTACTGCCAACCACATGGAAAAAAATCTGCAAAGTATATAAACAAAAATAATTTAAATTTTCATCTTATCCTTAAAATAAAATAAAAAGAAAACACATTTTATGGGCAATTGATGCACATGCTTGCTAGCAAAATAATTAAAAGATATTTTGTAAAATTTTAAAATTTATAAAAACTTTTTACACATTGCTCAAACGTAAATAGATTTTATTAAAAGATTTAATTTTCTCGGCATCTTTTCAATGCCGAGAAAATTAATCCGAAATTAATCAATGCCGAAATTAATTAATCATGAAACCAATGTAAGGTAACTGCAAGGTAATTTAAGATGCTAATACTTAGTTATATTAGTCATGGGGTTGTGTTGGCCTACCAGAGCCCCACCCTTGCCCCCCCCCCCACCCTCAAAGAAGGACAGTGATTGTCCCTCTTGTCTTGAAGGCATTGTTACAATCACCCTCACCTGGTAAAGCATCCAGAAAGTAAACGAGACAAAACTGCATGGTTGTAAGAAGATGAAACACCAAAACAGCCAACAGGCTGCAAAAGAATCACTCAAGACAAAATGATTTATTTGAAACTGGATATGAAACACCCTCCAGCAGCCAGGCACATAGCTGCCAGCTGGCATCCCACACTCGGTCATGTCGCCGAGTGTGAGGATTCTTATCTCGCTTTCCCTAGCAGATCAGTCGTCTAAGTTCCACTTCAAGATGAAGTGCTCATAAGTGAACTTTGCATTATATGTACTTGAAGCTGCCCGTGTCTAAAGCTCTCTTCCCTAACACCCATTAGCGTTGCCTCTGCACTGACAGTTATTGTTTTAGTTTATTCAAGAGTTCGCCCGAGAGGCCAGGCCACAGGGATGACGATCATTGCCTGGGGTAGGGCAAGTCATTGAGTCCTCTGCAAAACCTAGCACTTAAGCATTGTTTTTTTTTTGAGGTGTATTAGGGTGTATATGCTTGGTTTATACCACATGCCAGGGATGCTTTTGATAACCAATTTCATCTTATAAGCAGAGTTCAGTGTCTGTTCTGTCTGCTTTTAAGAACAGCTTGGCCATTGCATATACTGTACTGTAGTTCTAACAAAGCGTACTGCTAAGAACTTTAGCAAGATAGGAAAAATTAAATTTATTTTCAGTTACCCAATAAAACTGGTAAATGTCTATCAGAAAAAAATATAAAGCTGAGGATGCAGGTGTTAATAAGATTCCTTGCTATGACTGCAATAGTTTATTATGGCCAAACAGGCAGATTTAAAGACCTGTATTACCAGACAGGAGGTCTGTTAGATATGACCAACAAAGTTCAGCATTATATAAACACACATGTGAGACATTACAAAATTATACGGATAATTTTGGTGCTGTATAATTTATCCCCAACACTGACTTCAAGAGGACAACAATAGAATCTATTTTTGTAATTAATGGTATTTTTATATATATATATATATATATATATATATATATATATATATATATATATATATATATATATATATATATATATATATATATATATATTATTAAATAGGACCGAAAAAGTAAGATTAATAATTCTAACACGAATTTTCTCAATCTTTCGTACATTTCTTTTCACTGTTGGAGGTAAATCAAAAATCAATTCTCCAAAATTCATTTTTATTTCTAGTCTGACGCGACACGAGCGCGTTTCGTAAAACTTATTACATTTTCAAAGACTTTAGTTCACAAATACACAACTGAATAGAACTTACACATCTCCGATTTTATATCTACATTTGAGTGAGGTGGAAGGGGTGATGTGGCATTAACACAAGACAGAACAAGATGTGGCATTAATAGGGTATTAATTTCATCAACACAATTGTGTTGATGTTGATTGTGAAATGTACGAAAGATTGAAAAAATTCGTGTTAGAATTATTAATCTTACTTTTTCGGTCATATTTAATAATATATGTCTACAGGAAAGACTGCTACCAAAATATACTAATATATATATATATATATATATATATATATATATATGCGAACAAGCCTGAATGGTCCCCAGGACAATATGCAACTGAAAACTCACACCCCAGAAGTGACTCGAACCCATACTCCCAGAAGCAACGCAACTGGTATGTACAAGACGCCTTAATCCACTTGACCATCACGACCGGACAAAATGAGGTGATAGCCGAGGCTATTTGAACCACCCCACCGCCGGCACTCGGATAGTTATCTTGGGCATAGCATTTTACCAAATCACCTCATTCTTTGGGGCACACGTGAGGAACACAAATGCGAACAAGCCTGAATGGTCCCCAGGACAATATGCAACTGAAAACTCAAATGCTATGCAAATGGTAAAATGCTATGCCCAAGATAACTATCCGAGTGCCGGCGGTGGGGTGGTTCAAATAGCCTCGGCTATCACCTCATTTTGTCCGGTCGTGATGGTCAAGTGGATTAAGGCGTCTTGTACATACCAGTTGCGTTGCTTCTGGGAGTATGGGTTCGAGTCACTTCTGGGGTGTGAGTTTTCAGTTGCATATTGTCCTGGGGACCATTCAGGCTTGTTCGCATTTGTGTTCCTCACGTGTGCCCCAAAGAATGAGGTGATTTGGTAAAATGCTATGCCCAAGATAACTATCCGAGTGCCGGCGGTGGGGTGGTTCAAATAGCCTCGGCTATCACCTCATTTTGTCCGGTCGTGATGGTCAAGTGGATTAAGGCGTCTTGTACATACCAGTTGCGTTGCTTCTGGGAGTATGGGTTCGAGTCACTTCTGGGGTGTGAGTTTTCAGTTGCATATTGTCCTGGGGACCATTCAGGCTTGTTCGCATTTGTGTTCCTCACGTGTGCCCCAAAGAATGAGGTGATTTGGTAAAATGCTATGCCCAAGATAACTATCCGAGTGCCGGCGGTGGGGTGGTTCAAATAGCCTCGGCTATCACCTCATTTTGTCCGGTCGTGATGGTCAAGTGGATTAAGGCGTCTTGTACATACCAGTTGCGTTGCTTCTGGGAGTATGGGTTCGAGTCACTTCTGGGGTGTGAGTTTTCAGTTGCATATTGTCCTGGGGACCATTCAGGCTTGTTCGCATTTGTGTTCCTCACGTGTGCCCCAAAGAATGAGGTGATTTGGTAAAATGCTATGCCCAAGATAACTATCCGAGTGCCGGCGGTGGGGTGGTTCAAATAGCCTCGGCTATCACCTCATTTTGTCCGGTCGTGATGGTCAAGTGGATTAAGGCGTCTTGTACATACCAGTTGCGTTGCTTCTGGGAGTATGGGTTCGAGTCACTTCTGGGGTGTGAGTTTTCAGTTATATATATATATATATATATATATATATATATATATATATATATATATATATATATATATATATATATATATATATATATAGTATTTTTTCTGGATTAGGGCCCTTCAAAACAGAAGGTAAACCACTCGCGATGAAGGGAACAGAATATTTACAGTACTGTATCAGTAACAGTCAAAATATTGGTGTTTGATACACCACTAGAAAAAAGTGCATGTTATTCAAGAGAATTTGATGGTAGGAGGAGAGATGGGAGGAAGAAGCGTGAGCAAGGTGTATAAGGAAGTGGGGACTGAAGGCAAACCTCACACAGTACATGCCAACAGACAAACCTGGGTGGACAGATCATTAATAATTACACCCAATATTGATCCCCTCGCCAAAGGACTGAAGAAAACCTGGATGGTATTACTTAAAAGCACTGGTAAAGGCCAGGCAAATGCCAGTATGATGAGCAGAATTTATGGTTCTTGACTGGACTGGAGTTTGAGAGGAACACACTTCACACACATGCTCAATCTTCAGCAATACAAAAGTATTGGAAGAATTATGATATGAATTTTACATGGTAATATCAATGCACAACATTCATTATTACAATATGGCTTCAAAACATATATATTTTAACAATGGAAAGACCACACAACCAACAGTACAGTATAATGCTAACAATTGGATGACCAAGTAACTTAAATACCAATAAATACACAAGTAACTCAAGCTACTCACCCTTCCTTAGATGTAGCATAGTGAAGAAGAGAGGGTTTACATAGCTGATGTATCAGGTGATTGCTTAACGTTCCACTCATAACATCTCTCATTGTATTTCCCGTTGCGATGTGATAATGTCGAGAATTTAAAACGGTTCTTGGTAGTGCCAAACTTCCAACTGTCACCATTTCAAGGAATTTGAATACAAACTGACTCTGAGAATCTCCTGGGGAACACAGTCTCTCTAATGATGATATTGTATTAAAAAGTTCTTTTACTATTTCCACATTGTCTTTCTTGTTTTCATCAAGATTAATAGCAACTCTTATGTGTGCAAGGACAGCTTGAAACAGGAACACCCCAAGATTGTACTGTTTATGTTCTTTGGAATTAAGACTTTGCACAGCTTCACTAATGCAGTTCAACAGTAGCTGATGATAACGAACAAATAGTGTGGGGGATGTGAGTATCGGCACATCCATCTGCTGTGTACTGAAGCTGTAGGTTTGAAGCCCTGGAATATCTATACCCACAGAGAGAATCTGGGCCAAAATTTCTGCACATGCAATATGCAAACCTGAAAATTTTCGTCCTGGTGATGCTGTAGCACCTGACATAATAAGGTTTCTTTCAGATAACCCAATTGCTGCTCCACCTGAAGGTGACCCACACCCAAAACAAAACCTTAGTAGTGGTATTACAATTAAGTCAAAATTTATAGATGCTTTCTTGCCAAGTTTGCAAATAAGATGCCACCATGCTAACAGTTTTGCATATGCAATATCCTCTGTTTTAGCATTATTAGCTTTAAGGGGTGCAAGTAAGAGTTTTAATCTTTTTAAGTGAGTAAGCACACTATCATCCAAAGAAAAATTATCAATTAAAGCTTGCCAGCATTTGAAAGCATCAACTCTTATCTCTGGTTTGGAACTCTTGAATCCTTTTTCCACAACTTCAAGGAGGCCATTTATGAGTGATGTACCAGGATGCAACTCCTTTCCTAAAAATTTTACAATCAACTTCCATTCTTTCAGTATGTCAATACATTCTTCTCCCACCAAGCGGTTCATTTGTTTACAATGTTGAGCTTTAAGATCTGGGATAATCACCTTCACAATATTTAATCTAATATTATCAAAATCTTCCATTTTTTCAAGTACGATTATTGCTTTACTCAAGGTAGCAAAGGCAGCTATGCGAACTCGGCCAACATCGTGAAACATATAAATAAACACACTAGGAAACCACTGTTTTGCTTCTTCACCCATTTCATTGGGAATAATTCCTAATAATGACTGAAAGACTTGCATTGCTTCGTGAACTGTAATGGACGAGGCATCTTCAACAGTAAGAATGCCGTTTATTGTTTCAATAATTTGATGAACTCTTTTTAAGTATATATTTTTGTTTAATCTGCTTTTTGCAAGACTCCAAAGGCTTCTAGTTAGGACTTTTTTCTCTTTGGTTTCTTTTATAGCTTTAATTAATACATCTAAAATATTGGCTTCATCTTCACTATTCACCAGGCTGAGGAAGCTATCATTAGCCAAGAGACAGCCACATACTCCAGCAGCTTCATAACTGATGTCGTGCGTTTCATTGAACAAGTCAGCTTTAATATTAACAAGAGTCTTGTGTGTATCATCCAGAGATGCAAAATCACTCCAAACAAATTTCTCCAATTCTCCTGTGCTTTTCCTGAAAAGAGAAGAGTTCTTTTACAACAAATTGTTGCAATTAAATTCTTAGCATAAAATAAAATGTAAACAAAGACAATGCAACTTAAAAAATTCAAATCTCTAAGTAATGAATTATTAATCCTAAAATGGCAGCCCGATGTATTAGCTCATACTTTATTATTACCTTATATTATACAGTGGCACCCCAAAACCTGGGCCTCCTTATAACATTCCCTTAACCACTGTACTGCACACACCATGATGTCATGGGAAAAGGGTTTGCACACATAAGCACATGTCTGTTAGTACAGTACATACAGTATATCGTAAAATTCTAAATTCCTGCAGGTACATGGGGCCCACATCCCTGTTCCTCAGGATTCCAGTAAACAGATCTCATCTGGGGGGTTGGGGGTGGTGAGGGTGGGAGGGGGTGGGAGGGGGTGGAAGGGGGTGGCAGTGGGGGGTTGGGGGGGGAGGGACGTCTACATCCCTCCTGGCTGTGAGAGCCTCAGTATTGCCAGAGTGACCAAGATTGGCACATGCAGCTGGAGCTCACAGCACAGCTGTGCAGGTCAGGGCTAAAGCACCACTTAATAATGAATAAGTAGTCAATTATTTTGTAATGATAGTATCAGGTATCAAAGATGATCCTGATTGTGATACAGACTGTTACAATGTTCAGATATCAGTGAACACAATGCCAGTTATGATGTTCATAGCATGAGGCAAGAGTGAGAGAGCACTTGGCCATTATTTAGTACAGTACATTCACACATCATGAAATTACTTCATGCACCTAAGCAATATAACCTTGTGGAATTGGATTCATATTCAGGATTTAATGACAGAGTCTGATAATAATAATAGCATTTCTGTGGATAGTCTTAGCAATGTGTGCAGTATATTGAAAGCATTTTTCTATTTTCAGATGATGTCTGCTGGGGTGTTGTTTGCTTGTACAGGACTGTGTGGCTCCATGCTTTGTTTTGACTTTTATCACCACACATCAAAACTGTTTATTGGTTTGTTATGGTGCACATAAATCTTGATAGATGTGTGGTGTGTGTGTGTTTGTGTATGGATATACATAATGTAATAGTAGCAAAAACTGTATGTTTCATTGTTCAAAGAATATAATATATGAACTCATATTAGCATGTGACACGAATACTGTTTATCTGTGGGTTCCAATATTCTACATGTTGTGTCATACACAACATGTAGAATAATAACATGTAGTACTAACAAGCTAATGCATCATTCCACTTGAAAAAACCAATGTAAAAGCATTTACAATGTGAAGAAAATACGATACATTCAATGCATAATCTTACAACTTCATGTATAGAATGTGGAACTAAGCTGAACTCTGATAATCAGTTATTACATTCTCCAGAAAAGCTTAGTGGTTCATAATGGTGCATAAAAATGCAGATAAAAAAAAATGTAGATAATAATATTATTACTGACAAAGGCTATAAAACCATGTCTCCTAAATTATTTATTGGAACATGTTCCCTAGATATATCATAGGTAAATTAATTATATGACGAGTTTCAGGCACATCAGAAGTGGATAGGCTTGGTTTGACAAGAGATCATAAGGCCAGGTTACTATTTTCTGTG